CGGGACTGACCCTGCAATTGAGTACTGTGTGCTTGGTACTGTGCTCAGGCTTTACATACTTCTATTTAAAACCCCAACAATCCCATAGGTAGGTTTTAATCCCCATTTTGCAGTTACAGGTGAGGAATCTGAGGCTTACACGGGCATCACCTGCCCAAGTCCACACAGCTAACAAGTGGTAGAGTCGAGATTCAGATGCAGGCCTGCGGAGTCCCCATTCCCTGAACTGCCTCACTCTCATAAAGGACGTTTTAGAATCAGCCCATGAAGAGGGGGGCGGCTTGAGGGCAAAGGACATCCCTTGCCAGGTCCAGCTTGAAACCACTGTAGACAGGCCACCCAATCTGTTGGAACCACCCAAGGACGGGCTGAATCTGGGGTCCCTGATAAGTCATTGATGAGACCACGGGCTGAGGCCCCTATCAGCCACCAGAGAGGAAAAGCTCCTGGCCTTTGGGAATTTAGGGAATGCCTCACCATCCCTGCCAGGGGCCGCAGTCTGGGCAGCAGGACAGGGGCCCCCTCATGCTGCAGAACTGCCTGGAACCACCCTGGAGAGTGGTGAGCCAGCAGTCAGAAGGCAGCAGCCAGAGCAGGAGCAGGGGCATGGAAGCTTCATGAGGAGCAAGAGACCCGGAATCTGCACAAAGTAAGTCTAGATGCCACTGAGTATGACTCAGTGAGCTCCTGGAGCCTCAGGGGTCGCAAGCCTCAGGAGCTTCCCCACTCCCACCACAGGAGGACGAAGAAGCCCAGGGGATTATCGGCCCCTCTGAGACTATCACAGAGATGCCCCAGCCCCTGAGACCAAGGCCACCAGCCTGGATGGAAGAGAAATTCTCCCCAAGCTGATTCGTCCATTTTACCTCCCATTTCACCCCTGCACACCTTGCACTCACATTCTGGGTTGGCAGGTCCCTCCCCAGTTTTATCTGTTGATCCCACCCTCAGCATCAAAATTCAGTGTAAAGACCACCTTCTCCAGGCAGCCCACCCTGATCCCATTCCCCAAACCTGGTCATTATCTCCCTCTCCTTCGACCCCTGGAATGTGTGGACTTCTCCCATGGCAATGAGGTCATCTCCTTCATGCTGTGATTGTTCCTGGGCTGCTGCCCCTTTTGAGGCTGGATGGCAGGGCAAGCGACATAGCTCCTAGAATGGGGCCTCAGATGTACAAGCCCATGATACATGATGGATGGATGGATGGATGGATGGATGGATGGATGGAATGGATGGATGAATGGATAGACAGATGAATGGGCAAATGGACAGATGAATGAGTAAGCAGGTAGGAGGGTTGATGGCTCACAGAAAGTTCCATGAGGCCGCCTGGAATTATCCAGAATACCCAGACTTCCCTACTGCTCCTGAAGATAAGATTCCACTGTCACCTGTCACAGCTCCTCCCCTGCCTGAGTGAATTTAAGATTTTAGAGTGTCTGCTGCGTGGAGGTGCCAGGACAGTGGAGAATCAACCAGTGTTGCTTCCCTCCCTGCACCGCAGTTTCCCAGAGATAAGATGAGGACATCAGACCAGATGATTTCATGGGCCCTTCCAGCTCAAAACACATCTCCACGCTAGGACCCAACAGAGAACAGGGGAGACTGACTGAATCCAGGTCAGCTTAAAGGAGCCCCTGAAAGAGTTGGAACAAAAGAGGAAAAGAGAAAAGGTGGGAGGAGGAAGGGAAGGAGGGGGAAGGGAGGGAAGGAGAAAAAGAGAAAGAAAATCTATTTCCATATCCCAAATTAAACATGCATCTAGCATGTAAGATTTCCCAAATGTATAGTGTCTTTTTAAAAGAAGTTAATTTGAACATATTGAATGTAGGATCACAGCATGTAAGAAATGATGGATCCCCCTAATAAGGTGGATTTGCCTTGGGCAGGGATGGCGTGGGGCAGAGAATGCCAAAGGGAAGCATGAACCATGTGGGGTGGGAGAGGTAGGGTGAAGGTGTGGTTGGGGGTGCTCTTCTTGTCACCTTATCTTCCACGTTAGCCAGAGCACCCCCACGCCCACAGCCCTCACTTCAGCCAGAGCATCTCTCCTGCCTGCTTTATGCATTGATCTTATGAACCCAATATATTGTGTGAATAAAAGGTTCCTGGTGCTTTTTTTAAAACGGGACTTAACTAATGAAGAGAAACAAGGGGTCCAGAGAGAGTGATTTGTCCAAGGTCATACAACAAGTACATCACACTATTCCTGATATCACTAATCCAATCACATCCATTAGGGGTTGGGGGGCACTGCCCAGATGCAGCTGCCCCTGCCTGGGCGGTTTAGATCTGTATACTCTGGCTTAACTCCAGCAGCCTCAGTGGGGAGTCACCAGGCTCCTTTAAACAACATTCCACTAGGACAGGAACAGATGGATAACCCAAGCCAATTAGGAACCAGAAAATCTCCAAGAGGGCAAATGCCCAGAACAGGGAGAGCTCGGGGCAGCAGCCCAGCTCACTGCAAGCCTCACAGTCGAAAACCTTCCTAAAACAACCCCTTGGCTGCCTTGGAGCATAATTTAATCTTCCTTTGATGACTCCGGATCTCGCCCTGCCTCAGGCCACTCTAAGAACATCAATAACTGCTGGGTCCAGGTGGGAAGCTGAGGGGAGGGGCTGGACCCAGGTTGACCAGCTGACCCTGCCCTGCGGTAGGGGAGAAGCTCAGTCTGGACCCTGGGGGCTGGAGGCTGCCTTGGTGGAGAGGGCAGCACAGGAGGAGAATGGGAAGCCCTTTACAACCAATAAGGGGAGCCCTAAGGGGTCCCCTCTCTAGCCCTCAGAGCAGGTGGGACACAGTCAGAGACACAGGAGAGACACAGGCAGCTCCCAGGGATTTCTGGAGGTAGGAAGAGAGAGGGAAAGGCAGGCAGGAATGATGTTGAAGACCAGCCTACGTGACCTTTTTAAGGGAGAGGCAATATTTTAATAGTACAATGCCCCCACAGACTTCGTAGAAAATGTTGGTTTTAAGGGAGAGAATGGGCTTAGAGCCACCCTGTGCCTGCCCTGCCGCTTCCTGGCTCGGGGATGGTGAGAAGGTCACTTAATCTCTCTTTGCCTCAGTTCCCCAATTATTAATGCTAGATTAGTCACAGGGCTGCCACAAGGGTTAAATGAGCCTAATAGTGGTGACTTGAAGTCAGGGTCTTAGCCCGAAGTCTCTGCTGAGGACAAGGCCAGAAGAACAGAGTGTTCATGGGTTGGTTCTCAGGTGAGACTGGACATTTGGCTTTGTTTGGTTTGGCTTGGCTTGTCTGTATTTCCCACATTTTATGCAAGAAACACACATTATTATATAAATAAAATAATATTCATAGTGAAAATAAAACAGTAGGGACTGCACTTGATCCCCAGGGAGAAGTGGCTGATCAGAAGAGAAGCCATTCATTGAGGGTGGGATGGAAGAGGGCAGAGACACAGACAGGGGAGACACAGTTAGAGACACAGTCAGAGATAGACAGGGGAGACATAGAGACACAGTCAGAAACACAGACAGGAGAGACACAGTCAGAGACATGGTTAGAGACACAGACGGGAGACACAGTCAGAGACAGTCGGAGACACAGAGGAGACACAGAGACACAGTCAGAGACAGGAGAGACACAGTCGGAGAGACACAGTCGGAGACAGAGGGGAAACACAGAGACACAGAGACACAGTCAGAGACACAGAAGAGACACAGTCAGAGACACAGGAGAGACACAGACAGGGGAGACACAGAGACACAGTCAGAGACACAGGAGAGACACAGTCAGAGACACAGTTGGAGACACAGACAGGGGAGACACAGAGACACAGTCAGAGACACAGGAGAGACACAGTCAGAGACATGGATAGAGACACAGACAGGGGAGACACAGTCAGAGACAGTCGGAGACACAGACAGAGGAGACACAGAGACACAGTCAGAGACAGGAGAGACACAGTCGGAGAGACACAGTCGGAGACACAGAGACACAGTCAGAGACACAGAAGAGACACAGTCAGAGACACAAGAGAGACACAGACAGGGGAGACACAGAGACACAGTCAGAGACACAGGAGAGACACAGACAGGGGAGACACAGAGACACAGTCAGAGACACAGGAGAGACACAGTCAGAGACATGGATAGAGACACAGACGGGAGACACAGAGACACAGTCGGAGACACAGACAGGGGAGACACAGAGATACAGTCAGAGACACAGGAGACACATAGTCAGAGACACAGACAGGAGAGACACAGTCAGAGACATGGAGACACAGACAGGGGAGACAGAGTAAGAGACACAATCAGAGACACAGACAGGAAAGACACAGTCAGAGACACGGTCAGAGACACAAACAAGAGAGACAGTCAGAGACACAATCAGGGACACAGACAGGAGAGACACAGAGACACGATCAGAGACACAGACAGGGGAGACACAGTGAGAGACACAGTCAGGGACACAGACAGGGGAGACACAGTAAGAGACACAGTCAGGGCAGGTCCTGGCTGCCCCAGGGGCCCAGGAGATTGCAGCCCTGCATCCTCAGGGATAGCTAAAGGTGACATTTTCTGTCTGAGTGTGCCCTATCACTTACTGAGGGGCAAATCCCCATCATCTACTTAGGAGGTGCCAGCCAGGGGAGGTAGCACAGAGGAGAACACTGCCTGCTTACAGGCACCAGAGCAGCTCCCATTTGCTGTCCTCGGCTCCAGGTCCTCTAAACATCAGTTGAGAGGGACCTTGGCCCCCCAGAGCTCAGGCCAGATCCTCCCCAGAATCTCCCCTGGGTGAGCCTGCCTGGGCCACTTGTCCCTCTGTCCAGCCAGCAGCCCTGTGAGGCTCAGCCATGCTGCCCCACCCCCCACCGGCCTTCGCTGAGGCAGCCCTTTGAGGAAAGCTGGGCTTGGTGGGTCCACAGCGTTCTCCCTGCCAGTGATGTTAATCCGCAAAAGAAAGTCAAACATTAGCCCGGGAAACAGCTTATGCCTTATATAAGCCCCCCTGGGGGAGGCACAAACACAGCTTGTTAGAGCTGAGCTTCCCAACTACAGCGGCTGCCGGGCCCTAGGACAGAGCAGGGACCTCAGCTACACTCATCAGCAGCCCCATCGGATCCAGACCCAGCTGCCAGGTGAGGAGGGAGGGAGGGCCCCCCCAGCCCAGGCACCAAGGAACCCCCGGGGAATCTCCCAGGACCAAGTCCTCATTGCAACTGTCCAGGCCCCTAATGCCCTCTGAGACCCTCTTTGGCTCTTTCGGACACCCCAGCATTTGGAGGCCAGCTCCAGGAAACCACCAGAAGCCAGGAGGCTCTGTGCTTGGGGAGGCCTTTCCCAGCAGGCAACCTGAACTCTGCAACCCTGTGTATCTGCCTGGAGCAACTGGGAACATCCCCCACCCACTCCCGCAATCCGTCCTTAGTAGCCAACACCCAAGCCTGGGCCCCTTGTCCCTGCTATGTGTCCTGTACTGTCCCATGCATGCAGCGTGTGGGACCAGCCGAGCTGAGCACACACAGGCTCGTGCTTGGAGGTGCACACACACATAATACACACCCGAGCTTACATGGCTGTGTCCTTCTGCTCCAGCCTAAATGCACACATACCTGTAGATACCTTTGTGTCCACACACCTGGACACACACCTACACCTTTGATTCCACAACCCTCCATGCAGCAGGGTTCTTCCTCATGCATCCACCCAAGAATCTGTGGATCCACACACCTGAGGCCCCACCTCTTGCTTTTTTTTTTGAGACAGAGTCTCACCCTGTCACCAGGCTAGAGTGCAGTGGCGCGATCTCAGCTCACTGAAACCTCTGACTCCCTGGTCCAAGCAATTCTCCTGCCTCAGCCTCTTGAGTAGCTGGGATTACAGGCATGCGCCACCATGCCCAGCTAATTTTTGTATTTTTAGTAGAGACAGGGTTTCACCATGTTGACCCGGACAGTCTCGATCTCCTGACCTCAGGTGATCTACCCACCTTGGCCTCCCGAAGTGCTGGGGTTACAGGCGTGAGCCACCGCACCCGGCCGCCTCCACCTCTTTCCACACTTACACATGCACTGCTCCACACACCTGTACTGGCACATCCACCGGGTTCAGCCTCCCACCTATGGTGCCATAGGCCCATGCACCACCACGCACACATATACCTCTCCCTGGCCTATGCCCTGCCCACAGCTCTGGCTCATCTTGCCCCAGCGCCATGACCTTCTCCGAGATTCTGGACCGTGTGGGAAGCATGGGCCGTTTCCAGTTCCTGCATGTGGCCATACTGGGCCTCCCGATCCTCAACATGGCCAACCACAACCTGCTGCAGATCTTCACAGCCGCCACCCCTGCCCACCACTGTCACCCGCCCCCCAATGCCTCCGCAGGGCCTTGGGTGCTCCCCATGGGCCCAAATGGGAAGCCTGAGAGGTGCCTCCGTTTTGTACATCCGCCCAATGCCAGCCTGCCCAATGACACCCAGAGGGCCACAGAGCCGTGCCTGGATGGTTGGGTCTACAACAGCACCAAGGACTCCATCGTGACGGAGGTATGCCTGGGCAAACCCTCTCCCTCCACTTACTCACACACCCCCACACCCTGCACCGCTGGTGGGCAGCAGAGGAGGCTGGGGTCTGGTGTTCCCAGGACCCAAGGACAGGCCACTTGGCAGGCAAAGAGGAAAGACCTGAGTGCAGAGGCATTTCCACCAAGAGCCTTGGTTTTTTCACACTCAGAGTCCAAGTGCTTCAGCAAACTGCTACCGAGGGCCTGTTCTGTGACCTGTGCAGAGCTCAGTTCTGGGAACACAAAAACACACCATGCCTGCTCCCAGGGGGTCTACAGCGTGGTGGGGATAGAACCCATTAAGGAAAATACCACACAGATAAGTGTAAAATTACAACTTCAAAGTGACCTCACACTATGACCTATGCCCGGGGTGGGTGTGGAAGTGAGGGCGTGGGGAACGGGCGTTGAAGGAATTTTCCCCAAAGAAATGCCCCTGGAACTCAGATCTGAACTTCAGCCAAGGCCCAGACAGGCAGTGAGAAAAAGGAGGAAAATTCCATCTTGTGCAATGGCCCCAAGGTGGGAGGGCTGTGGCGGAGGGACTGCACAGAGGGGATGCTTGAAACACTCCACAGCAGGCCCAGAAAATGTCTCGTCCACACACACACAGCCACTCCTGAGTTCACCTCTCATTCCCTCACCCCTTCACTGATTTACTGACTCTCTCACTCGCCACCTTGGGGAAATCCAGAGTTAAATCAGACTCAGTGAACTGACAGGCCAGTGATAGGATGAGGATGAGGAATTCGGAATTGACATTTATTGGACATCGCTAACTGCCAGGCACATTTGGGTGCTCGGTGGACACTGTCTTGCTTGATTCCAAAGTGATGCTCTGTTGAAGGTGATTTCTATCTCCCCTTACAGGTTTTTTAAAAAACAAAAAATCTAAGACCCAGAGAAGGGAAGTGATTATGTAGTGCCACATGGCTGGTCAGTTTCAGAACTGGGATTTAGAGCTAAAGCCCATAAGAGGTACAGGGGGACAAATGTTTATGCAAGTTCAAAAGAGAGAGAAACCGCTGGATTCAAGGGAGGCTTCCTGGAGGAGGTGGCATCTGAGCAGTGAGCAGAGAGCAGTGTTTTCATCCTCCCTCAGGTACCATGAGCCCGTCAAGGGCAGGATCCTGTTTTTGCCTCATGAAAAGAGATGCATTGCAAAGCCTTACCTGGTGCCAAGCACTACACATCTGTGGACTCCTGGAGGCCCAGGAGATGAAATCTCTTTAGGGGAAGTATTATCATCTCCAGTTCACAGATGAGGAAACTGAGGCTCAGCTTGATTCCATGACCTCCCCATGTTACACATGGCTAGAACCTGGCAGAGGCAGGATTTGAATGTAGGGCTATGTTCAGAATCTATGTGATTGCTATTCATTTAACAAATATTTTTATATAAAGTGCTTACTATGTGCCGGGCATTGCTCTAAGAGCTCCACAGATATTAACACTTTTAACCTTCCTGACAACATGATAAGGAAGTTCGTATTTTAATTCCCTCTCTCAGATGGGGAAACTGAAGCACAGAGAGGTTAAGTAGCTTGGATGAGGTCGCACAGCTAATAAGCGGCACATTCAGGACCCAAAGACACGCACCTGTCTCCAGAGCTGCACTCCAAACAACAACATTTGCTGCTCTCATATCCCTAGATTATATCTCCTCCCAGTCACGTCGGCTTTATTTCCCCCAGCATCAAGCATAATGCCTAAAACCCATCAAGTGGTCAAACATTTCTTGACCCGCAGTGCATGATACTGAGGACACAAAGTCAAAGAGCCGCTAGCCTGCCTGCCTTCAGGAGCACACCACTAGTGAGACACAGATCCACTCTCAAGGATCATGGGTGGTTTGGTGGAATACACAAGTTTCCCAAAGCAGGGATTTTCTGCTGCCTTGTTTACTACTCTATCTGCAGCAGCTAGAATAGTGCCTGGCACGGAGGAGGGGTTCTGTATGAATGAATATGCGCTTTGTACGCTCAGAGTGCTCTGAAGCCCAAAGTGGGGTTATCTAACCAGCTTGGAATGGGGATTGAGGCGAGCTTGCTGGAGTCAGTAATGCCCACACTGGGCACGGAAGGGCGACAGTTAGTGAGTAGCGCACCCCAGGCAAAACGAAGAGTGATGGCGGCAGGGGACGGGTCAAATGCAAAGGCACAGAAGCAGGAAGAAAGGCCAGGATCCATAGCTCACACCTGTAATCCCAGCACTTTGGGAGGTGAGAGTTAGTAAGCAGTGCACCCCAGGCAAAAGGAGGAGTGGAGGGGGAGGAGAGTCAAATGCAAAGGCACAGAAGCAAGAAGAAAGGCTGGGTGCAGTGGCTCACCCCTGTAATTCCAGCTACTTTGGGAGGCCAAGGCAGGTAGACCACCTAAGGTCAGGAGATCAAGACCAGCCTAGCCAATATGGTGAAACCCCATCTCTACTAAAAACACAAAAATTAGCCAGACGTGGTGGTGCACACCTATATTCCCAGCTACTTGGGAGGCTGAGACCGGAGAATTTCTTGAACCTAGGAGGCAGAGGTTGCAGTTAGCCAAGATCACACCACTGCACTCCAGCCTGGGCGACAGAGCAGGACAACTTAGTCTCAAAAAAAAAAAAAGAAGAGAGCAAAAAGTCAAGATTGCAAGTGCCAAGGGAAGGCTGGAGGAGTAGCAGTAGGATATGGAGGTCCCCAGACGTGGACCTGGAGAGGACAGCATGAGGACCCAGCTTGGATGCTGCAGCAATGAAGGTGTGGCCTGTGTCCTAAGGGCAATGGGGAGCCAGTGAATGTGGTGGTGGTAAGCAGGAGAGTGGCACCACAGGTCACCTTCAAAGGATCATCACTCTGCCCTTTAGAGAGTCGTTTGTGGAGTCTTTTAGTCCAGCAGCAGGGAGACTCGCTAACAAGTTGCACAGGGATCCAGGACAGAGATGACAGATAGAAGGGACAGTCGGGATAGATACCAGGAAGGTCAGGAAGTTGGAACCTATGGGACCTGGTAACTGAATGTAACTGAATGACGTAGGGCATGAGGGGCAGGGAGGGAGTAAAAGATGCCTCAGTAGCCATAAGGACGTTTCCAAATGTACAGGTGACTTGCTGTGCACCTGGGCTCTGGGAAGAGGAGTAAAACCTACCACCCATATCCTCCAAAAACACAGAACCCAGCCAAAGAAACAAAAATCCCAGAGGGAACAATTAAATCATCGTCATCACCAACATTTACTGCGTGCTCACACTGTGCCAAATGGTTCTAAGCACTTTGGCCACATAAACTCATTTCATCTTCACAATAACCCTCTAAGGTCAGCACCTATTTTTTCAATTTTATTATTATACTTTAAGTTCTGGGGTACATGTGCAGATCGTGCAGGTTTATTACAGAGGTGTACACATGCTATGGTGGTTTGCGGCATCCACCCCCCAATCATCTACATTAGGTATTTCTCCTAATGCTATCCCTCCCCTAACCCCCGCCCCCACTCCCACACACAGGCCCCAGTGTGTGATGCTCCCCTCCCTGCATCCATGGGTTCTCATTGTTCAACTCCCACTTATGAGTGGGAACATGCGGTGTTTGGTTTTCTGTTCTTGTGTTAGTTTGCTGAGATTGATGGTTTCCAGCTTCATCCATGTCCCTGCAAAGGACATGAACTCATCCCTTTTTATGGTTGCATAGTATTCCGTGTTGTATCTGTGCCACATTTTCTTCATCCAGTATTATCCCATTTCACAGATGAGGAAACTGAGGGACAGGTCACTGGTCCAAGGCCTCACGTTTCATACACGATAGAGTGGGGAGTCAAAATCAGGGGTCAGGCTCCAGAGCCTATGCTTCTCAGGACTGCACAACCCCCAACCCCTAATATGTGAGGTTGACTGTGCACCCCACTGCCCAGGGGCAGTGTTGGGTGAGTGGCCTGTCCACAGATCCTCCTTCCCTGCCTTTAGTGGCTCCTCTAGGGCAGGAACAGTCCCTCCCTCACCCATCCCTGTCGTCACAGGTCTAGATGCATGGTAAGTGCTCAATCAACACTGAATGAGGGAAGTACCCCCTCAGAGCCTGGTGGGAGAGACAGACAGGTGGATGTAGACACTGCTAACTGCTGGGAAGTGGCTTCCTTTCCAGAAAACCCCTTGAGCAGCCTCTAGGAAGGCAAGACAGAGAAAGGTTTGCAGGCCTTGCACCCAGTCAAGCATCAGTTCACGCTTAAGCCTGTTCCCAGTCACCATGTCAGCAGTTGACACAGTGTGAACCGCCATTCCAGCAAGATGCCCGGGGTCTCCAGGCCTCAGGGCACTGCACCCTTCTCTGGGTCAGGTCTGGTCCAGGTGTGCACCAGGCTCTGGATCTCCAGAACTCTCAGCTGTGAGAGCCCATAGGAAGCGTCCCTGCCCGGCCATTGATGCGATCCTGGCTGGACTCAGCCAGCCACTGGTACCAGCACAGCAAGGGCAAAGCCCTTTCATCTTTCTGTTTGTGGTTCAGCCATAACAAGTCCAGCTCCATGTGCTTGGGTCGGGTTCTGGCACCCTCTGCTAGAGGCAGAACAGTGGCTGGACCTTACCTAGAAGTCAGAGGCAGGGAACTGGATATGCTGGCTCCAGGTGAGGAGGGTAGTAACAAGGAAGGCGGGGTATTTGGCAAAGATCGAGGTAAGTCCAGGTGAACCCCGTTAGGAGAAGCAAGGTGCCGTCTCCCAAACAGAGAGTGGGGGATCGTGAACCAGAGCTCACAACCTGCCTCGGCAAATTACCAGGAATATCATGATCCCCAGAAGCCTCAGATTCCTCATGCGTAAAAAGGGCTAAGAAAGCAAGTGTGAGGGTTAACAGGGATGGCACAAGCACAGGACTGAGCCCAGGGCCTGGCACAGAGCATTCCATTTCCATGTGAGCTATACTCCTTGCTGGGGCCATGCTTTTTTACTGTTGTTGTTAATAGAGAACTAAAGGGTTCATCCCCAACAGAAGAGAAGGGGGATCCCCCA